TTTATTTTTATATTATTAAAATCAATGTTGTGGATTTAATTAATTGAATTTAATGATGAGAAAAATATATTTTATATATATACCTTAGATATGAGACTTAATGAAAGAATAGGAAAATAATTTTATTCCCAATTGGTTTTAAATTTTATATTCCATTTCCATCATTAATTAAAGTATTTCTTATTCATCATACTTATTCTTATCTAATATGATGAATATATGATAATAAAGATGTTCCCAAAATTTTCTTTAATTTCAATATTTTTGCATTTTTTATCAAATTTTAATTTTTGTATTTAATTGGCAACAATGCAACATGGGTTGGCCTATTTGACCCAAAATTGTTTAACTTCTTACCACTACATAAAAATACTGCTTTTCCAAGTCAATTTCAAAAGTACAAGTTTTTATATTATTAGAATTATTATGTATGGATTTAATTAGTGGAATTTAGTAATTAAAAGAAACAAAAAATACCTTAAGGGGGCATTCTTTTTCTGGATTTTGAGAGGGGGAAAGTTGGTCAATGGGATTTTGATTCCCATTGACCAAGAATCCCATATTCTTTTTTAAGATTTATGTGGGGACCAGGGAAAGTTTATTTTCCTGGGTAAGTGATACCCATCTTCTAGGTGAGTAAATAACTTTCCCACCTTGGGGGAAAGTTGTCAACACTTGAATGTGACAAAAATTCCCCTTATAATAATGGATTTTTATGGATAAAATGGTCATTGTCTTGTTTGCATGAAAAATAAAAGAACATGGGTAAATGCACTTATCCGGGTAAATCTTTCCTGAGAAACACTTACCCCGGTAAATGTATTTATCCGGGAAAGTAACTTACCAAAAAGCGAACGAGGCACAAATGTATGGTTAAGTGAGAGTGAATGATAGTTAATACCTTAAATGAAATTTAATGAAAGAGAATTAAATGCAATAAATAATAGTATTCAAATTACATTTTCTGCCCTCATAATAGATAGGGACTCTATTGTACTTTTTATAGTAGTATAGATATAGATATAACAGGGGGACTCAAGAGTAGGGACAGTCAGACAGAGTAAGGGATGCATGCGAATTCATAGGTGATAACACACCATTGCTGTGATGAAATGGCTGGTTCATACAAGAATTCTCGGCGTACTGTAAGTATTGGAAAGTTTGCAACAGAAAAACCAAAACATGGAAACAGGTCTATGAAAAAGATTCTAGAGCTAGGAAATTAGCATTTAAAATTGTCCATCTTTGCAAATGTATCAGAATGGGTTTGGATGATACCTACATGGGTGATGGGCCACATTGAAATTGGATCCATTAATATTCTGAACCGAACATGTTGAAATTAATGATGAGTTGGATTCTACATGGACTTGGATCTGATTCGAATATTAGATATACCCAGGCCCAACCAGCAGAGCCCACATCAATGTGTGTTGGGTTTTAGCGTCGGTTTGCACTACCAGTCTTTAATCTCGGGTTAGAGAGTGGCTCAGATCTGAGGGTTGACCCTAAACCTAGCAGAACCTGTCCAAGTTGCATCCTTATAAAGTTGTTGAAGAATGAATAGGAATCACGGAAAGTGGCAGCACGATTTAGGTATAAACAGGATTCTGTAGAACATAGATACCTAATGACTATTATCTCTCTGATGGCTACTTAGTTTGAGGATGTAAGCTTCATACGTGCACCAAGAGCATGAATAAAAAGGATAACGGCAATGGACAGAGTGAAATGGCGGACTAAGATTGATCAATGTAATCGGAACAAAGCAGCTCGGATGAGTAGGAGTCAGGAGATAGAGAGGGGGGATGTGTTATATAAAAACAGTATACCTTTATTTGCTTATAAATTTACTTAATACTAGCTAAAACAATCAAAATAAATGCAGTGGAATTCCTTCAAAAAAAGGCATTTTGAAGGATATTTTTTGTAAAATAACATTTTTTCTTAATGTGGAAAAAAGGAAAAGATATGGCTGAACTTTGATTATTAATAATAACAATAAATTACTGATGAACCATCGCTTCAAGTTTGGTAATTGCAATCACTTCCCATGAACTTTTTGACACAGTTGCAAGTACACCCCTTTATTAGAATTCTCTAACAGAAGGTATGAAAATGTCCAAAATACCCATACAGTTACTATTGAAGTTGGTTTCTACAAAAAGGAAACAATACAAACCTTATGAACAACAAGAAAAGAGAGTATAAAGATGCAAGCTTTACCTTTGAGCAATTGATATGAAGGGAAAATTTGGAAAATACATCAATTTTAGAAGAGACTGGAATGGTTTGGGGTAGTGATTGATATGAAAAGAAAATTTGAAAAATAAATATTTTAGTCAAAAGTAATTGCATGAGTATTTTGGACACTTTCATACCTTTTGTCAAAGGATTCTAAAGGGGTCGTCTACTTGCAACTGTTTCTAAAAGTTCAAGGGAGGTGATTGCAATTACCAAACTTCAGGGGGGTTTGAAATTTACCCTAATAATAAATTATAGAACATATTACTTTATGACAATTGTATATAATTTATAAATAAACTTGGACAAATTAGTAAAGTGTTTTCTCAAACTGCATGCATCATGTGTTGCAAATATGTACAATATTTAAAATTAATATATTTCTCATAGAAAAATTAATTTTGTAAGATTACTATTTCTTATTAATTTTATTTATAAAACTAATCATATATATATATATTAATTTTATTTATAACATTATAAATTTAATTTGAATTTTTAATTAATAAAAATTAATATTATTATTATTTTAATTACAAATTTGAATTAATTTTTATAATTTTTATACTTATAAATATGACTTAAATGGATTAAAATTAAAAGTTTTATAGTTCTATTAATAATAATAAAATTTAATTATTATGCTACCTAATTAAGTCAGTTATGATTGTTTAACCACATCAAAAAATTACCTAATTAAATAACTAACTTAAAGTACAGGCATGTTCAATAATTTGTACTTACAACCGTTATATAACATATGGAGCCATATTGGCATCAAACTAATGACCCATATGTAATACACGTCTAAATTCAAAAAGGAGCTATATAGATCTAAGGGTGCAACTTGGAAGAGCCAACTCAAGTCCAAGCCGCCCAAACTAGAAATTTAAATGGAGTGGACTTGGATTTGGTCTTTGGGTTGGGCTTGATCTTGGGGCTAAATGTTTGGACTTAATTTTTTGGGACAAGCTGAGGCGTGGCACAAGTTGGACAAATCCGAATTGACCTCAAGCCCAGGCCTTAAGCAGAATTACAAGGGTTGGATTTTATTAATATCACTTTAATTGCTATAAAATTATTTTACCTATTAATTTAATTACTATAAAATAATTTTACAATAATTATAATTTAAATAATTCATTAAATATGGTAATTTAATATTAAATTACTTTTTCAAAAAGTTTGATAATTTATTAACTATAATTACTTATCAATTATTAAGAGTAATTTTTAACATTAATTAATTAATCATAAATAATCAGTTAATTAATTATCAACTCTACTCAATTAATTAACTGTATTTAGTTTTGTAATTGTATTTTTATAATTATATAGGGAGAAGAAAGAGACAAGATTAGAAGAAATTTTAGGAGATGAGATGGTTTAGGTAATTAGAATTAGAGAGAGAGAGAGAGGAAGAAGCTTCGGTTAGGTAAGGGGAGAAAGGAGAAGTTTTTTAGCTGGGATTACACCAATGAATACTTATTTGCATTTGGTAAATAATCCCAAATAAGTTCTTATTATTCAAAAAGGCCCAAATTTTAAGCTTATTTCCTTTTTGGCCGATCTTAGCCCATATCATGTAACTTTGAAAATACCTACACTACCCTGCTTGAAACAAGTGCTTTTTCACCAAACACTTATGAACCCTTATTAGGACAGGCACTTATTTTTAAACACCTATTCATCAAATAAGCACTCCCACCCAAATATATGCTTAGCATAACTTAAAATAGTCAAAGTAAATAGGGCTGTTCATAAGAATGCCCAACCCGACCAAACCGACCAATCCGGATCGACCCAATCCGAGTCAGCCAGGTTTTCATCAGTGCCGGTCGGTTTCGGGTTGAGTAAATATATAAATTGATATATCGGGTGAATTAGTCTTCTACTAGTTCGGTAGTTCCTAATTTGAATAGTTTCCTATTTAACTATAACTAGCCTTCTACTAGAATTAGAAGTCTCATTAGTCAATTACAATTAGAATAGGCAATCTATCATAGTTTCTAACTTTCTATTGTCTTTTACACCAAATAGGCAACCCATTAGGCAATTACAATTAGAATTCAATTAGGTGTCCTTTTGTATAGGAGCAAAACCGAAACCGACCGAAACCGGCCCAACCCGACTCAAACCGACTAGGTCGGTTTGGCCTACAGTGGGTTGGTTTCGGTTTCCACCTCAGGTAACCCGACCAGGTCGGGTCGATTGGGAAAACCCCAATAAACCGACGCAACCCAACCCGTGAACACCCCTAAAAGTAAATGCTATAGAATTCCTTCAAAAGACCATTTTGAAGGATATTTATTTATGTAAAATAGCATATTTTTTCCTTTGTTATTTTTAAACTAAACTAATTGATGTTAAAAAGACTCTATATCTCCTACTCATGGAAATTCTGCCCACACCTACCCACAATACACTATCCCCATGAATTGGGAACATCTTTCCCTATGAAATGTTCTCCATGTACGACTGGGATTAATGGGGGCAGAATTCTTGTGGGCAGGAGATCCAGACTCTATTAAAAGAGAGAAAGAGACGGCTGAACTCTGATTACTTACGTAATAAGTTATATAGAACAAATTTCTTATGACAATTTATATAATTTAATAGTCTTAGATAAATTAATAAAATAATAACTAGAGGTGCTACTCCTACAGTAGTATGCATCATGTGTTACAAATTAATGTGCACTTAAAGTTAAACAATACGTCCAATTAATTGAATACTATTCTCATAATTAACCATACCTCTAACAGTTTCCAAGCGCTATAGGCTGATGAAGAATCGGCGATGGACCGGAAAATATTTTTATCCACAGCTCGGAAAATGTAGAACAAGGCCCCCGAATCTTTCTTTCTAATCTGTTCATTTTGTGATGATATTTCCTTTGTAACAACTTCCCATAAATCCTTGGATTTCAACATGACTTTCATCTGGATTTTCCAATCTTCAAAATCTTCCCCATTAAACCTTGGAAGTAGCAGCTGAAGCAAATCATCACCCTGCTCCATTAATTGATCTTTGAATGAATTTGGAGCTAGAATGACCTCTGATTTATATAATAATCCTCTACCAAGTATAAGTGGATCCTATCAAGAATTAAACAAATAGTTATTACAACAATAGAAGTGGAACTTTCTAAATCGCCTTTGTAACTCTGGTGTAATTACAGAACAAGATCTAATTAATTAATTCCTAAGATAATTTTCTCAATTGTACATCACAAGTTGAGAAGATCAAAGCAATTAATAAACCATATAATTTTATACTGATTTTGATGACTTTGAAGAAAGGTTTAAAACGAAAAAAAAAATTTCTTTGTACCATGAAACAACAATTAAAATTGAATATGAATCACCAATTACTCAATTTTTTTTTCCACGGTGGCATAAAAGAGCCACGAATTTTCATTTGGGAAAAGATTAGACAGCATCAGCAGCTGCCACATCAGCAAAAATATCGTAGGGATAACTACACTACATTCCACCTCAGAATTCTAAACTCCATTGCACACTTATAACATTTCAAAATTTTAAATACCTCCCTTTATAACACCAATACCTGTCTGTGTATTGGCATCAATTCTGAACTGGCACCTACCTCAAATGTGCGGTAGAACTAAGATTTATTGAAATAGACTTAATAGTAAAAACCTCAAAATCATATTGTATTTGATGGCATGGCAGGTGATTTTGTTCTAGAAAACAAAACCATTCACATATTGTGGAACATCATGAATATCAGATCGAAATTTGTCATTGACCCGGATAAACAGGATTCAAAATTTGCACAAGTCTATTTAATTACACTGTAAATTTTGTACTGCAAACAATAAACTGAGGCCTTGCTTAAGAAGGATGGACGAAGATCAATTCTACTATTTACCTGCTGTATGCTTGTAGGGAATTAATTGAAGCCTTGAACGTTTGTAAACAAGATATTGATTTGCCGGTGTACTTCCAAACCTCTGCTTTGTCTCATACCACCTAATAATGTTAAGGCCGGAATTTCTAGTTTGAGGTTTGGATTGTACTTATATATATATATATATATATATATACACCTAGCAGGACCACAACGTACATTTATCTTTAAAAAAGCATTTGCCCATTCGTTCCATTAATTGGATGCTTTCCTTCCAAACTTAATTTGCACATTCCTTTACAGTCATTTTAAAGGGAGAAAGACGGTTCAGCTAGGGTTAGAATTTTTAGACCAAAATATAATTAGAGTGGGTGTTAGTTTGGAATTGATGCCAATTTACTAGTGGGCATTGATATATAAAGTGGAGATTTTTAATATTTTGAATGATTATAATTCTACACTGAAAATTAGAAATCTACATTGAACCTATCCATACTTTTCCGTATTCTAAATTCGATCTTCTCTCTATAATTTTATAATTATCACATTCATCAAAACCAATGAAAAAGCATTTGCCCAAAAGCTGTCTGTCGGTGGATTTGCTTGAGACTGGGGATTGCTCTTGGGTTCTAACTGTTGTGGAAATAATGTTAAGGTGGTAAAAGAAATCGTAATGGAATGTTTTTGTCGGTAGAAAAGAAAAAGCATGACTGAATAAACATTACAGAGAAGAAAGGAATTCGGATAACAAAATTAAAGTTAGCGAGATGTTTTGTGTCCATTCTAAGGGATTTGGATATGCTTCGGACAGAGCGTGCCTCACAGAACGTTTCAGTCATGCACCTGAAACATTTCCTTAAGAATAAGAATTTACAATTATCGAGATGTTTTAGATGCGTGGCTGAAACGTGTTGCAAGGCCGGTGTGAGGCGTGCTTTGTGAGTAGCAAACTTAAACTGTACACGCATCTATACCAAGACCCCCTCTCTGATTTTTAACAGGCCAGTGTTTTAATCAAGACACGGGCTTACGTGATATCGTCTTTTTCACCCAACACTAGCGTGTTGAAAAATCACTGGGGGTCTTGGGTTTGTTTTTCAACTTTACACTACAGGTGCGATATTGTGAGATGGGATTAGTTGCACACTTAAACTGTTAAGCAGGAGTTCAGATCTGCGCCCCACAAGGGGGCACCCAACAACGTTCCACAGCACTCTGCCATGTATTGGGAACGTCTTCTAATGATGACATCATTGATTTTGGTATTATCGTCGGGAGATGTGCTGTGGGATGTTGTGGGGCGCCCCCTTGTGAGGCACAGATGTGAATTCATTAAATAAACTGTGGAACCAATGATAACACTCCACACCAGTTATAAAATACATGGGCTCACAACCATTCAATCTATCAGTTTGGGCCTCGTATATTTTATCAGTGGCATGGAGAGTTATAATTGATTTCACAGCCCACTAAACAGTCATCATGTTCAGCTAATCCGAATTTGTATCTTACGAGTAGGAGATGCGAATCCTCTCCTCAGAATGGGATCTGCTCCTCACAAATAGGTGCCTCACAGGCACATCCACCATGCATTAGGAATATCTCCCATACTTATAAGTTATTATTCATGGGAGATGTTCCCAATGCATGATAGGATATACATGTGAGGTAGGTATGAGGTACCCTGTGTAAAGAGCAGATCCAGTCTCTCTCTCCTCAGGCTCAGGCTCAGGCTCAGACAGTCGGACCAATACCATTTGACGGGAAATTCTGATTTCAATGTTGATGTGTTGAGACTATGAATAGGTAAAACAAAAAAAGGAAAATGAAAACGCAAGTTCAAGATTAAATGAGATTCCAAAGCATGGTAGGTTGGAGAGAAATAAGAAAAAGGAAAAAGGAAAAAGAAAAAAAAAAAAAAGCATCCACCTCGGTTGCCATTTATTCCCCTTCCTCTCGACAAAGAGAATGTTCTGCTTTTAATAGTGAAATCTATGTTTTTTTATTTCATAAACAAAAAAGGAAAAGAAAAATAATTGAGAACTCGTGGAGTTGTTAATCTATTTAATCCCTCTATATAACCTTACTAGAACTATTGGAACTAGGGTGAAACTCAGTTGGATTGAGTTGGGTTGAAGGTTAATTAGGCCTGAGTTTTTCAGTCCCAGGCCCAATCTAGCCCAAAAGCTCAAGTCCAACCCTAGTTGAACATCAATTAATATCAAGATAATGTGGTCCCACATTATATAAGAGAGACTTGAGTTTGATTAGATCCAACCACATTCTATTCCAAACCTATTATTGTAACTTCTAATTTGAATCTAATCTGAAATCCTATAGCACTCGACTCAAACTAAGATTTAATCTAAATTCGCTTTATTGTGTTTAAAAAGAAGAAAACTTAAAATGTTTGAAAATGTTTACTTAGTTTTAATTTATACATTTACATATATGATAATTTTATATAAACATAAAATATTGAATTATGTAATACTATGACTTAAATATGTCATTCTAATAATTATTGAGGCCGTTGATATTGATCAGCAAGGACAAATTTGGAATTTCTGAGGTTCAATGGGCGAGGGTCACACCTATTAACACAGAAAGATGTTAGAGGTCTCAAAGACGAAGTGTGATCCCAGGGGGTGAGGATTCCGATGGTTAAGCTTACCGAGGTCTTAGGATGCTGAGCTATCGAGGTGAAAGGAGAATATGAGCAAGTAGGAAGATTACAGTGTGTAAGAGAGATTACCCATGGTAGGTGGTCCATACTTACAAGCGAAGCGAAGAAGGATTGTGGCAGCCTGTACGTTCACTAAATGGTATCTCCACGAGTGACCATAAAAGTGTGCGTGCGAGGTTCCTCATTATTTACACACGTGATACCCTGTTCCAAGTGTGACTCTTCCACCCTCTTCTCTCAAATTTTCTTTCCTGTCGTATTGTTCCCCAATCTTTTTTGTCACTGGTTTTTTGGGTCAACGGCTTGATCATCCTATTCGAATAGATGATACATTCTAATAACAAAAATTATAGGCAAAAAATCACAGAACCATTCTGGCCATCGATTTTCGAACTAATAGTTTGATCATTCAGTTCGAACGGATGGCCCATTCTGACAACAAAAATTACACACAAAAAATTTGAGTGTGTGAGGTCCATTAAGTAGTATCGTACGTATTATGTCATTCGAACGTGTGACTCATATGACCCGAAAACGGAACCATTCTGGCCACGGGTTGACAGTTCGACTGCTTGGGTCAATGGGTTGTTGATTGATTCAACAGTTTTTGGCCAAGGACCGGGATTGGGGTAAAACTAACTAGTTGCCTGGATGGTTCCCAATTAAAAATAAAATAAAAAATGGTGGTTCGTCCGTCCGGTTTGAATGGATGGCCCGTTCTGACAATAAAAATTAAAAAAAAAATAGAAAAAAAATGGCCACACACCGTTGAACGGGTCAACGGTTCGATCACCTAGGTCAATGGGTCATTGACCGATTCATCGGTTTTTTGCAAGGGACTAGGATTGGGATAAAACGGAACCGTTTGCCTAGACGGTTCCCAATTAAAAAAATAAAAAATGGCCAAAAACCATTGGACAGGTCAATGAATTGACGGTTCAACCGGCCTAGTCAATGGGTCGTTAATCGATTCAACGTTTTTTGGCCAGGGACCGGAATTGGGGTAAAATGGAAATGGTTGCCTAGACAGTTCTTGGGCTGAAATGTTTGTCCGTTCAAGTCAATGGCAGTTCAAAAGCTATGGTTTTTTATGCTTTTGGATTTTCACAATTTAGAGGTTTCTTGTATTGTGGCTTTATTTGAGTGTGTACGGTATGTTCCTCTTTTTTTTTCATTTTCTATTTTTTTTGTATTTGGTCTTCTTCTTCAAGATCCTCCAAAACGGTTTAAGGTCTACCACTATTTTATTTCTTCTATTTTGTTTTTCTTTGGGTTTTTTTGTGCAATGTTTTTTTTTTTCTTACAAGATGATCTACTTTGTCTCTTTCTTTGATTGCATGTATGTTTAGCTCCATCTCAAAGCAGAACTTTGAACTTGATTTTCTAATTTTTTCCTTGGTTTTCTAGTTTGGTGATTTACTGCCATTTTTTTTCTATGTTTAAGGTCACTTTGGATTTGTCTTTCAAGATTTTGGCATCCCATGCAATGTCCACCCTTTCCATGACCGTCCGGTTCGAATGGATGGCCCGTTCTGACAACATAAATTAAAAAATAAAAAATAATTAAAAATAAAATGGCCAAAACCATTGAACGGGTCGATGGTTCGACCACCCAGGTCAATGGGTTATTGACTAATTCAACGATCTTTGGCCAGGGATCGAGTTTGGGATAAAACAGAACCGGTTTCTTGAATGGTTCCCGGGACCCTAATGGTCCTACCATCCAGGTGAACTGGGAGTTATTGATGTGAAACAAAAGACAATTATGAAGTAGAACTCAGAACTATCGCTATATGATCGTATTCTTTTAAATGAGATGCTTTGCTGAAGTAATATTTAAAAAACGAGCACATGATCTCTTTTAATTCTTTATATGAGTTTGAAAACTTGACTACTTATAATTAAGTTTGTTATTAAGATATTATTGTCTTTTAATATAACAAATGGCAATGTTACAATTTCAGCTCCTGTGAAGGAGGGCCCCTCTGCAAGTTACACTATTATTAATGAAATAGGAGGCTCGACTGATGTCGTAATTCCTGTTAATATGGTTCCTCATTAAACTAGAGGGGAAAATGTCAAACATATCCTTTGAGGGCTTTGTAATGATTGAGTTTCATTCCCTCTAGGGCATGTCACATGTCTATGTTTGATTGGATAGGCGGTTTAAGCTATATCACATGCCCCTTATAAGGCCAAGGCCGAAGTGAAGGTCATTAGTTTGTCCTAAGCTTGGTTTCAAGTGATGGAAGTAGCAGTGGATTATTCAAGTAGGCCCCATCATTTGTTGTTTGAGGTCCTTTGCACCTTCGCATGTTAGTAAAGATAATGATTTGGGATCGTAGAATAATGAGGATTTGGTTCTTGATCTAGCGATCATGTGTGGGGACGGGGAAGACCGTCGAAGAGCGACTGTAGTTGCTGAATGAGACTTATCTAGACTGT